ACACACACACACACACACTCACACACTCACACTCACACACACTCACACTCACACACACACACACACACTCACACTCGCACATTCACTCGCACTCACACACTCGCACTCACTCACACACACACACAAACACTCACCTCTGAGCGTCCACTCGAATGGCAACACAACAGTTCTGAGCCGCTTCAGAGACACTGACCGACTCCCAACCGGACATCAGCTGAGCGGACTGATCGTCATTCCCTACACACACACACAATATTATGAAATATTATAATGACCGCGCGGATGAAGACTGTCGACTCATTAAACTCATCTAAACATGGGCCTGAGGAGAGTGTGACGATGATGATGATGATGATGATGATGTACCTGTGATCACCACCACAAACACGCATCTGCGCTCTTTAGCTGCCGCGATGGCCGCCGGGATCGAGCCCTCGAACCAGCGCATGATGAAGATGAGGAGGATGAAGCTCTGCTGCTGCGCTTCCGAAAGATTCGACAACTCACAGCTGCCGGAAGCTGCGCTCGGAACACGGAAGCAGTTCGAGCCGAGGAACTCTGGGAAATGTAGTTTAATTGAGAGGCGCAGCACATCCGGTGTTAGAAATGTGTTCTCATAATTCAAACAAAACGAATAGACGTTATTATATGAAGTAAATGATGACTGTAGTTTACTGTAGTTTTGTCAGGATCTCTTTATTTTTAATGTAATATCAATCCCAATATCCTTACTGCAAACAAAGGAAAGCAATGCATAAAATAAAAAAGGAAAAGTATAAAAATATAAATATAAGCCAAGAAGTATAAAATATAAGCCAAAATTATTTATTTATTATTTTAATACATTGGCTCGAATCAGAACAGCATATTAGCATAGTGCTCTCATTGTTTCTACAGATTTTATTTTATATTTTATTTTATTTTATTTGACAGATCTTCACAGACGCAGCGCCGCACGGCGGTACATTTCCCACAATGCACCAGGACAGGAATAAACAGAGAGCCAAGATGGCGGCGGACAGTGATGTGGGTTTAGTGTCTAAATGCGCATCATGATTATCTTCATATAAGCACACGCAGTTATTTGAGATGTTTATGCGTTAACTGTCACGTGTCGTCAGTAATCAGAGTCGCTGGTTTGTGTTTCAGCCCGAGTCTGAAGTGTTTGAGATCACTGACTTCACCACCGCGTCCGAGTGGGAGAGGTACACAAACACACCTGCTTTACTGATGATTTACTGCTGTTTTCATAATGAAGATGAAGATAAAGCTCCAGTTCAGGGACAGATGGTGGACACTCATGTGAAATAGCGAATCTATCGTGATTTATTAGCTTTCAGTTCAGTTTTCTGACTGTAAACCCTTCTTCAGGCCAGGGTTAGTGTGCTAGTTCCTCATAATGATCGTGATGTTTCTGTGTGATAGACTGCGGATGTGACGACACTGAGACTGCTGTAAAGCACAAGCACACACTCTGTTAAACTGCGTCTTCGTCTGGTTGTGAGTTTGTGTTTAGCGTTAGTCTGTCAGGGAGCTCACAGATGTGTGTGTGTGTGTGTGTGTGTCTGTGTGTCTGCGCGTGTGTGTGTGTGTGCGTGTGAGAGAGTGTGTGTGTGTGCGCGCGTGTGCGTGTGAGAGAGTGTGTGTGTGTGCGCGCGTGTGCTGTGTGTGTGAGAGAGTGAGAGTGTGTGTGTGTGTGTGTGAGAGAGTGAGAGAGTGTGTGTGTGTGCGCGTGTGTGTGCGCGTGAGAGAGAGTGTGTGTGTGCGTGAGAGAGAGTGTGTGTGTGTGTGCAGGTTCATATCCCGGCTCGAGGAGCTGCTGAATGACTGGAAGCTGATCGGGTCTCGTGTCGGGAAACCGCTGGAGAAGGTCAGCCGATGACTGATGATCACATTCACCATACCATTTTATCACGATTTTATCCAAACAAACATGCTGCATACGCGAGTTTTTAATTTAAATTAGATTCAAATCCAAATTTTAAGCAAAAGCAGAATGAAGTAAAATAGGTCTGACTTTAGTCTTGTGAAATCATGTCAGAAACCGCAGAAGCTCTGAATGAGATGCAGTATCACTCTCTGACAGCAGGAGGCGCTCATGGAGCAGCAGATACAGCGTTTCCATGGTTACCGTGATATACACTACTGTAATATACATTATGGAGAGACGAGAATAAAAGAAAATACCATCTAAACTTTCCTGCAGACGGTCAGTTCAAATGAACAACTGTATCGCGATTCCAGCCGATTAAAGTGCCCCTATTATGCCATTTTTGAGGTTCCTAATATTGTTGTGGGAGTCTCCTCCAATAGGTTAAACAACGCTTTCGTTTTCTCAAAATATGCTTTTAATATCACCTCATTTTCCAGCGATTCTCAAACGATTCGTTCGAAGCAGTTCAAAGATTCAGTCTCTCTAAGATCTGCTCTGATTAGTCAGATGGCCCGGTCTGTTGTGATTGGTCTACGGCGTATACTCCCACTGTTACTTTTGAACGCTCGATAGAAAATATAAACATCTATGATTTATAATACTTACAGGTAGTGATTCGGTGGAGTCAGCTGGTCCAAATAAACTGGGATCTGATTCCTCTCTCGAGAGCTGTTTGTGAATCCTGTGTTGAACTCCCAGAGATTAGAGAAATGATGTGTTTGAGGGCGGGTCGAGTTCAGGGTTGCCAGGTTTCACAACAAAACCCACCCAATTGGATTCCAGGGGCTAAATATCACGTTATTGGTGTCGCTTCAACCCGTGTAGCCCAATTAGTGTTTCCAGTTAGTAATTCTAGAGCTTCAGCTTATTTCAGTTCTAGTGTTCATCTCATGTTTGAGGATGCTGCCCTGCTCTGACTCAGTGCTGATGTTGTCAGGGTGAGATCACCAGCAGCTCGTGGGAGGAAAACACACAGGAGATCAACTTCGCTGATTTCAAGTTCTCCATCACACATCACTGTCTGAAGCAGGAGTCAGCTGAGAATGAAAGCAGGGAGGAAGCAGAGGAAGGTATGCGTGACCTTTGACCTGCTCGGCTGACCTTTGACCTCTTCTGCGTGTGTTTGCTGTTGAGCGGTGTCTTTGCTTTCAGATGTGTGTCCGCTGGCCCTGCAGGACCTGCTCTGCATGAACAATGACTTTCCTCCGCGAGCTCACTGTCTCGTCAGATGGTAAGAAGACTGAGAACGTTCACGTCTGAGTGCAGCAGCAAATCAAATCTGAATTGTCTGTGTAGGGATGTGTGAAGCTGCATGTTGTCAGAGTGGGTTTCCCGAGTAAGCAGTCTTCAGAGAAGCCTGTGTAATTGCAGCGGTTCCAGGTTGATCTGATGCGTCTCTTGAAAGCGGAGCAGGTTTCTCAGCGCTGTCCGTTGGTCTCTGTCGCAGGTTCGGTGTGCGTGAGTTCGTGGTGATTTCTCCGGGAGCCAACTGTGAAGCTGTGGTCAGCGAGTCCAAGTGTA